CTTTAAGAATTATTGATTTTTAAAAAGATTGATTGAATTTCACTTAGGAATATGCTTTTTTTATTAAGTAGCATATAATGAATAGTCGCTTTATAAAATACAAAGTTGGTTTGTTCTAATCCTGTCAATTTGCAAGATTTGTGAATATTTATTAAAGATAAAAATGATTAAAAATAATATACGTATATAGAATACATAAAGATTAAAGATGCTATGATAATACGGATAGAGCTCAGGTAGAGTTGGGTTTCCTTAAATTTAATATTATGTTGTACGTTGTCGATGTAGTCTACTAAAGTTCTCTGCTGAACATAGGCCTTTTTTTTTTGCGCCCGAATCAAATATGGGCAACCCTCCGGAAAGCGGGGGAGGGAGGTTGAGAATGCTCATAGCATACCACGCAGCCGGCTCTTATGGACTCTTACCACTAAACTCACCTTTTAGGAATTGGCTTAACGATCTGACTAGAGATCTCTAAGCCGTATACGAACGCGACCCTCCTTGGCAGAAAGGAGGGCGCAACGGCAGAAAGGAGGGCGCAATGGCAGAAAGGAGGGCGCAAGAACATAGGCCTCCCTCTTGGATTGCCTCATAGGGGGAGATATTTTGTTTCCCTCTGTCGCCTCTTACCACACCCACAGGATCGTGATGATGGAAAAGTAGTGTGAGCCGAACGGTCGACGGGGAGGCGGCTCGTGAATCCATCGAAAAAAAAACTAAGGCGAAGAGAGAAGACAAATTGCGGCCCAGGGACCCCAGGAAGGATATTCTTACAGCGCCACTACACGTTATATTGGACGTGAGCTTCCAAAACTCGGAGGTTTATGTATTCGGCGAGGTAGAAAAACTTTAGAAGAAAACTGGCAAGGATTATATTAGATTTAATTTAAAGAAATTAGCTCATTCACACTGGTGCTACTCAGGGATCCTGCTTAATAATCACATTAAGTAGAAAAAGAAGGTGAGGACACGGAAGTGAGACATGTTATGGGTACCTTTTTGTCACTAGGTCTTTTTTAAGTCTTCGTGTCAATAACAAATTTTATGTTAGGTAATTTCTCCCAAAAGCTGTTAATATCTATATGCGTTCTTATGGATCAATGTATATTTTCAATTTCATCAATTTTAGAAATATATACCAAAGCAAATATATAACCTTAAAATGAAATAAAATTTGAAAAATATGATCTTTATTTTATTAAAACACTAAAGTTTTGAGTATTTGTCTATAGTAGAATAGTTTTGCCCGCGGCTTCACCCACGTAGAGCTCGGATATTTCGAAAATCACATTCAATGTGCTATTTCAAGATCTAAGAGAGCATAAATACTTAGTTAAGAAATTACGCTCCAGATCTTTGCCGCAGGAATCGTAAATGTTTTCGGCAGTAAAAGTAAGCAATATCACTGTCTAACCCATAGATTATCTCTATGGAAAGAATGTTGATTCGTGGCCACGTTGTTCCTTAAAAAGAGCCGATATTTATTAATGTTTCACTTTCAAGTTCTTAAATATATGATAGCAATAAAAATATTTTTTTTTAAAGTTAACCTCTTTATTATGATTTCTCCAGTGTCAAGAAGCTTAGCCAGGACGCTAAGGAGCCGTCATTGGATTTTACTAACCTAAATACTTTCGTATATTTATTTGATAGAGCCGCTTGTGAAGTACGACGTTTATTTTATCGATTGCTGATCACGTGGTCTTTGGTTCGACTTCTTGTGGGGTCAAAATCAGTTATTAGATTTATTGTCAAGAAATTCTAAGTAGATGCCCTTAGTACTACCTATATAGGTATGGTAGAGCCACGCTGTAGCTATATTATGGTTGTAGCACGAATGGGTCGGCTTGACCGAAGTGGAACCACACAGGATACCAGCTTGAAATATCAAATTAATGCTGCGCTGTTTCGTACCTATACTGAGTGCAGATAAGCGGAGAACCTTTTTACTGAAAACGATTCATTCCATCTTAGTTCTCAGGGATGACAACGCATCTGCATTTTGATACTTAATCAAGGATAAATGTAGATGTATATGGGCCGCAGCATCTACCAACCATAAGGTGAACTATGTGCCCGTTTGTCACACTTATTCTTTTAAAAAGGAGTCAGAAAGCTGGAGGCGTTTCACCCCTGTGCCTCCAAAAGCACGTAAAGCCGTTAGTTCTGCGCCTGACCTCACTCCGGTCGTGTCGGCTCACCGTCTCATCAGACTATGTGTGTAAGTTATTGTGTTTTACGACTACATCGATGGGGTGGTGGGATCGATCGAACCACAGAACTAAACTCTCCCAGGGCACGGAGTACCTATCTAAGATATTATAATAGTATAATGTACTAAGTTTCGTATGGTTAATTATTAGAATTTAATGGTTAGGAGGCAATCTATTTTAGCCCTCAGGGGACACAACGCACGTGCGATTTGATACTTCATCGAGGACAGGGCCACGGCATTGATTTTATATCAGTGAGACTCTATGCTCGGTTCACTTATATACCCTACAATGGGTAACACGATACAAATAGATTATGATTATGTTGTTGTCATGGTATAAAAGCTTTCAATGATAATTAAACATTTTTGATTTACATTAAATAAAAATTTGAATAGAATATCTACTTTATATTATACTTTATATTATACTTCGTGCTTCGTCCTCTAGATTAGAAACTGGAACTTATACGTAATAAACACATGTAGTATCACGTCTAGGATTCACCACTCGCTAAGTTTCAGTTGATAGTCCTAATATCTTAGGACGTCTTCGTCCTCAATGTTAAAATAAACTTTTTTTTTAATTTGGTATGAATGATTTTTACTTATAAAATAACATGTGTACTATTAAAGTCCTCTTTAAAATATTCTAAAAATAAGCTCATAGCTTAGCGCGGTTTCGAATCTCACAGATTTTTGTTACTATGCGAGTTATTGATGTCTAACAACTTCACGATAGCTTCTTTGCCTAAAAATTTTACTTTTAAACAAAAGTAAAAGCTGATTTCAACGTAATAACACAGCCTTAACTCGAAATCGGCTTTGACATTAATTTTGGGTAAAAAAATGTTTTTCAGCAAATAAAAATCATAAAGTTTTACGCATAAGGTATACCTAACTTAGATTCTTCATGGCATTGCTTTTTATCTGTTCGTAAAGTTTCACAATGAAACATTTTATAAATGGTTATTATTAGGGATGGGCCGAAAATGGATTTTACCGAATACAAATTTTCGGCCGAAAGTTCGGTAAAACCTTTACCGAACCGAATATTCGGTCGAATATTATTTGGCAGGATCACCTTGGTACCTAACCAATTTATGTCGAAACTTGTTGCCGTAAAGCGCGCTGCATTAGCACCGGACTCTGCCCTTCGCTCCCCAGCGAAACCTGACATAATATTACATTATCTGGTACTGAGCAAATTGCCGGCACATGCTTATGTTTTGAGTATTTTGGCGAGAAAAAAGTAAGTATTTCGTTGTGTTATTCTTATTGAAAATTGATAAATATATGATAAAATGAGTAGCAGGTGATCTACTATTTGGACTTATTTTAGAGAAACTGACGACCAAAGTAAAATGAAATGTACTTATGTAATGTAATGCTGATATGATTAATTCCAGAAATACTTTATCAAGCTTTTTCTATTTGTTATAATTGTAAATAAATCTACAGTGCCTCAAAAATATAACATTTCAAGGAGATGTACAGTAATATTATGAAAGACATGGCATTACTCAATTCGTACATTTCAATACAGTGGATACTGAGTACCACTTAAACAAATGTTCGGTGATTTAGCCGAATATTCGGCCGAATACGAATATTCGGTAACGCTGCCAAATACGCCGAATACCGAATATGAAACGAATATTCTGCCCATCTCTAGTTACCTACCTATAAGTCTTATTGGCATGCAAATAAATAACCCTCTGAGCTCGCGGTTATTATAATGTTACAAATAGACACTTCAATTTTATTTTTAATGTACAGATTATGTTTGCATCAAAATTTAAAGGTGCTCTTCAGCTTTTTATTACTACCTGCTTTCTGTTTGTCGGTCAGACCTTTACAGGAGTCTTACTACCAGTTGTTGAATGTGTAATGCATGTAATTAATGCCAATTCAACGCAACGAATTAAATTTAATTTAAAAATTTGTCATTTATTAAGTACTTTGAAAGGATAATTGGAAGCATGAGCGCAACATATATGAAATCTTTGCAGGGTTATATGTAACTTCAATATACTAACGTGGTAGAGCCACACTGTAGCTCGACCAGAGAAGAACTACGTAATCACAGAAAACAGTGTGACAGAGCTTAATACTGTTATGTTTCGTATAGTGAGTGTAGAGAAGCGAAGACCCTTTTTACCTGCTTTTATGAATTTTTATTCTTAATCGAGTATAGTTGTCTTTCTCGCTTATCATCTATATTGTTTAAAAAAAGAACTTTTATTAGGAGTCGCACCCGGGCTACTCGCGTACTGCAAAACTAATGCGAACGCTCCACCCCTAACTTACCACGGGTATTGTAATAGATTCAATATTGCAGTTACACAGCTTCATCACTAAAAGTAGTAGAAGTTCTTTTTTAAAAGAATAGGGATTATAAGCGAGCATAAGACCACCTGATGGTAAGTGGAAGCGGTGGAACATAGATATCTAGATTTATCCTCGATTGAGAATCAAAATGTAAATGCGTTGTCACCCCTGAGGACTAAGATGATATGCCTCGTTTCCCGTAAAAAGGGTCTCCGGTTATATACGCTCACCACACGAAACATAGCAAAATTATTGCTATTTTACTCTTATATTCTATGAGAGCGTGGTCCTACCCTAGTTGAATCGACTCATTCATGCTACAACCATAATGTAGGTGCAGCGTAGTTCTACTATGTTTTTCTTTATAATTTTTTACCCACCAAAAGAATTTCTTCGATCGATTCTTTCAATAGGTCAGCGTATTACGAATTTAATTAGAGGTTTTCTTATTTTTTAGGTCCAGAACACACCACACAGGAGACGCGACCCGAATACATTCATCCAGACGGTCTCCTTAACTTCGATCCTTACCTATCCGATTTCAAACCGGAAGTCGAAGAGGACGACTACATACCCCTTCCAGAGAATGACGAGACTATAGACGGTCTGCCGATCTTCCTTCTTGAACCAAAGAACGCTTATGTGTTAAGAAATAAACCGGCAACCCTGCTGTGTAGAGCGGCGAATGCTTTACAAGTTTATTTTAAATGCAACGATGTTAGAGTCGACAAGACTGTTCAGTTGGAACACGTGGATCCACAGAACGGCGTAAGAGTGGTCGAAGCAGAACTGAATGTGACAAGGAACGAGCTTGATGAATATTTCGGTGGACGATACAGCTGCGAGTGCTACGCGTGGAATAGCAGGGGCCGGATCAGGAGTCAAGCGAATTACATCCAATTTGCTTGTAAGTACAGTTTACTTTATATTATAGGTATGTATGTGGCTGTCTAATAGCTGCAGCACAAATGAATCATCCAAGGAAAGATCACGACGAATCCTAGCCTAGGTCCAGCAGTGAGTTTTGCGGCTGATGAAAAAGTATAATTTATTGATTTAGTTATAAACTTAAACAAAAGATGTCGCGGATAGTCGTAACCTGTTAAGAGGATATACGAGTACAATATAATATTTTTTCTTGCTCTTATCTCAAGTTACTTAGGGTCAGCATAGCATGTTTTCCTCTTGTATCAGGTTTACATTATAAATTTATTATTAATTATCACTTACCTCTCGTAAAAGGCTCAAAATATATTTATACAAAGTACCCGATACAAGGGCTTCGCTCTCCTACATTCATTTAAAAAAATGTAGGGGAGGCACACGGCGTGCGCGGTGAGTGCCAACCATTTTGATGCACTCCTACCAAAGGGAATGCTAATTAGGGAACTGGACCGTAGTCCACAGCAAAATAACTGGCGAACCAGTAAAAGAGGCTTGGCTCCTTGTTAGTGCGTAAGCACAAACATCGACCGAAGTCGTGCATGTCAATGCGTGTAAACGCCATACAGAATACGAATGAATCCAGCCACAGTGAATGCACGTCACACGGTTTAGGCAATTAGACACTTTGGCCGTAAACCCTCCGTCAGCGCCACCACCTGCCAGACCGCCGCTCCTGCAGACGTGATGTAAGTATATGGCATCACCACCGATTGCATGATCAGCACGGCTACTAGCCGCAGAGCGTGTCATGAGTCTACTGCTCACCTCAAGGGAATGGGGTCCCACGCTGTGCGGCTTTCGGCCGCAGCCTTGAGAGTCTCCTCAGATCCTCCCGCCAGCTACCACCCGCATGAGGTCGACACTTATCCTCCACCAACCAATACAACGGCAGATATAGCCAAAAGGCAGTTATAAGATAAGAGTAATAATTCGCCAACAGAAAGGGTTTGTGTCACTGACGTTGAGTAAATGCATTTTCGATCATGTTTATCTCACCCACCAACAAGTTGCCTTCAATCATTCAATGGTGGGAAAGTTACAGAGATATATTATTATGTTGCTATATAAAACATCGTGGAGGGCAGACAGTCTGCAGCCCCGTAATGAACAGACCCGACTTGGGCAAAGCTACTTAGGTGTGAGTCAAACCAAGACGCAGAGAGCGCCATTGAGAATAGCGTCCCACCAAACAACCATCGCAGAGACGCAATGCTGCAGAACGCAACAAGCATCAATACGACTATCGTCGGGCTTACACCATCCCAAGGTCCCCCATACATCCCAGCAGACATCACCACCCGCATACCTCCATCGACCAGAACCACAAGAGTGCGTCGAATCAGGCACAGCACACCCGCAGATCCATCACAAGACGCAATACCGCAAGAAGCAGTAAGCATCAATGCAACTATCATACGGATGGCGCCCCCTCACAACACACCCACATGATCCCTATCGACTTTGGTAACAAAGTTTGTATTGTTGTTAACTAAAAAATATCACCAACGTATCATAGTAGCTCGCTACTAAGACGCCAGTGAACAAAACTCCACGTATCATAGCGGTAATGCACTAAGACATGAAGTTCAGTATGCTGGTTACACTTAAAAGTGCTACTAAACACACTCATCCCAATCCGAAAGATAGACGACGACAAACCCGCTTACCACCAGCACTAAGATGATATATCTAGAACACATCAGTTAGCGACTCCAAGTTTACCTCGGACCAATTGCTCGTGAAGCAGCATACACGCCACCATAATAATCCTTTTCAAGTCCCTAATAAGGACTAGTCATTTTGCTACAGTACTAAGAGCGGTCGGTTACCCGACCACCCCATATAATGCTTATGCATCAAGAAGACCTTATATAATATTGCTTTTGTATCAAACCTCAAAGTCAAAATAAGGACTTCAACCGAATATACTATTGTAATGCAAATTCATCATAGAGACCTTCTATAGTATTGCTTTTGTATCATAGACCTTACTTTCATAAGTCATTCATAATATATAGGACTCGAACCCACAACCCTACTATTGTAATGCAAATTCATTATAGAGACCTTCTATAGTATTGCTTTTGTATCATAGACCTTACTTTCATAAGTCATTAATATATAGGACTTCAACCCACGACCCCACTATTGTAATGCAAATTCATCATAGAGACCTTCTATAGTATTGCTTTTGTATTATTGAGTTTATTATGATAAGTCCCTAATATAGGACTAGTCATTGTGCTTACAGTATTTCAAGCAGTCGGGCTCCCGACCACCCCATATACATCATGTAACATAATTAACGCACTTTGAGAAAGTAGTTTGTCCAGAATCGTTTACTGAATCGATTCCTATCATTTTAATATAGGTAATTTTTTTATCCCAAAAATAATTAAAACTATGTGAATTATGATCACACTAAATCTGTACAGTCAAAACAAACTGAAATGGACCGTAACTTAAGGCAATAAGACTTTTAAGAGTGCAGTTTTATTTGTATTATTACTAATTCTGTCCTTCAATAAAAATAAAGAAAAATAAACTTTATTTCAAGCACGTTAGTCTTTACGTTCGTGGATTTGTACTGTGACCACAACATTCTTCCGGAATTAACATAACTAATTTGATAAATAATCAGTGCGTAAAATTTTTTAACTAAAAATTCAGTGTATGTATTATGATTATAACATAATATACTAATTGGGGTGTCTGAGGGTGTGCATTAATTACGTTACATATTGTATATGTACAACTGCAGGTATGTATCTCCGGCAGCTCCTCCATACAAGACATCTATACATGAATACCTTCCATAACTTAGGAAAATTTTCTTTTATACATGAACTCCTTCCATGACTTAGACAATTTTTAACAAATTTTCTAATTATCTCATAAATGTTAATTATCTTTATTTTTATAATATTTTCGACTTGTATTTCTATTATTTATCATATTTTAAATATTTTTACAAGCTTTTAAATAAATTTATTTATTATGAAAGACAATATTTTTCCTTTAATTTACTATGTTATTGGTCTAATGTCTGAAATGTGTTTATATTAACTTTATGCTTATTAATATAATTTTTTGCTTAATATATATATTTTAAAACTATTTTTGATGCCCTTTTATATTGAATTTAATTATTATTAATAATATTCGGCCGTCACAACATGCAGAAGAAACAGCGTTGGTTATAGCACGCAGTCTTGTGGAGCACCAGCATTAAGAGGATAGAGTAAGTCAGCTCAAATTCTAATTTCGCCCCCACTTCCCCGCGCGTCGTATGCTATGTACCGACATGTTTGTAATCACTAATACTCTAAGTAGATAGGTCGTTAGATACTTATTTCATTAGGTTTATCATATTTATGCCTGTTTCTTAACGCCAACCCAGTCGCTTCTTATTTTTATAACGGTTATTTCCCATTTTAATTTTACGTCTTACTGTTGCGTAATGTGTTTTCTGATCGTAAGCGACACAACTTCTCCCTTCAAAAGCCGGAGCAATACTAACGGAGCGACAGGAATCAAGCTTACGCGTCGATAGTTTAGGTAATTTCTTTTTACAGTGAAAATAATGGTATTTTAAAAAAAGTAAATAACATAAGCACTGCTTTATAGTAAGTTCAGTTAGTATGCAAAGTTTCATGATCTTATTTAAAGGATTTTATGAATAGCAGCGGTTTATTGTTCAGTTTGGAGGTAACTTTGGATTTTTTTTCTATCGAGAAAATTTTACGGAATCGTGTTTTCGTCTAACATAATCATTAACATTAATCCTCAACTTTACCATATATTTATTTCAAAATGAATGCTGCAATATTTTCGGCATAACGAAGGATCTTGCTAAGCCATTTGACATTATATTTCCCATTAATAGGCTTGAAATCGGAGCTCGCACCGTCTACAACGACCTTGATCCGATCTGCAAGAAAGCTGGTCTATATACCTATATCTATATACATATATATAAAACTATTTGACGTTTAAAATTGTTGAATTGTACATGGCATGACAACTGTTACATCCATTTTGCACAATTAAAATATATTTCGTCCACTTGACTATTTAAATTATGCTATTAATGGGAATGCGGCCATGTTCCGATTAATAGCATTGGATGCGACACTCTTTGTTATAATTTATCGCTAGATGATAGATATTGTTTCATATTCAATTGAGACCAGTAGGTTTCAATTGCGATTAATATCTATTTTTGTCTCTGAATATTTGCAACTCTATTGGCATTTTTGCCTTCCTTAACCTAAAGAAATTAATTTCCTTCCTTCAGTGATAGATGAGAAATAAATATCCCTTCTTTATCTAAAATTTACAGTGGCTTTCTTTATATTATGGTGCATAGATACCTATATTTATAACTGATTAATCAAAATGCATACACATATATAGTAAAAAGGGAGACCCTTTCCGTTTTCGGATCTCGTCATTAGCCATAAGAAGCGTTATATTTATTTTACACAGGTATTCTCATTAGCCAAATAAACCACACTTTTATCAAAAGGTTTTTACAGATAGTAAGAAATGTCCCTTAAAATGTGGTACGTAATTAATGGACTGTCAAATAATAAATCGGATTTGGCAGACCTAAGATCTTTAAAAATCGATACCCCCAATGATGGTCAAATCTCAGCTCAGTCAGTCAGTCACATCAGTCCCCCGTGACCATGTGTGCTGGAAAGCACTCGAAACGTCGGGTATTAAAAATAAAATAAATAAAACGCGATAAAATCCGTAAAAGTAGTTTTAATCAAATCTCAGCTACTAAAAGAATTTGTGAGAATTTTAACAGAATTTTCGCCATAATAGGTACTTAAATTGCAAACAATACACAGCAAAAATAGCATAAAAATGTAACATAGACACTATTATAAAAAAAACCTTAAATAAGAATACTGAATTATAATTACCTCTATAAAAGCAATATGGCTTCCGCCC